CGTGTTGTGCCCAAAGTCACGTGACCATTAGATCCCCCGAGAGACGTGTTGTGCCTAAAGTCATGTGTTATTTTGTATCTGATTTGCTTGACTATACGTAATTCCTCTGTAAAACCGGATCATGTAGGAAAATAATGTCCTATTTAGGAATAAAGTGATGCATTCCTCTCTGGAACTGTGATATAAATCTTGTTTGAAAAAATTAAATTGTCAGTCTACGATGCCCTTTCTGTTGGTTTATTGTTTCATTCGAGGATGCAATTCTTGTTGTTGTGACACTTCCATGGGTATTAGAGAAGTACTTCCACCTTTATCAGAGCTCTTCAAGACCATTGATGTCATTGTGACGTCAAAGTATTATACGGGATAAATATATCAATGCATCGCGTCAAAGGGCCGTTTTTATTATCTATTTATTTGTATTTAAATGGAAAGTGCATTTTTAGAAATGATTTGTTCAACATTATTCCAGATAAGAACAACTCCTCAGGCTACCGTCAGCTTCTAAATGCTTGTCAGAGATGACATTAAGGGACTATATTACTCGGAAATTGAAATAGAATGATGAAATATTGAGATTTGAATTGAAAGAAGATTCCGGCATGTGTGCGAATACTTATAAACCAAGAACAAGCCATTCTGGCGATGAGGAATATTACTTACAAAAATTATGCAGTGCACTTTTTGCAAGTGAAATCGGCGTTTACATCTACATGTTCTTGCTGTTCGTGCTGTTAATACAAATTCAGCACTATTGATTCTATTTCAAGTGGCGATGTCCACACGTGATCCGAAAAAAATGTAATGTTTTTTGCCAGGTTTCTGTGATTGGCCATTTTAGGAAATATTTGTATAACCTCCCTGTTTAGGATAACATGACAATTGTAGACAAAACAGTACCACTCATTCACAAATCAAACACCACATGCATACAGGGCCCTCGACACACTGCAGCTAACAAACAGGAGTCTCTGAATTTGTCACGTCCTTACCAGCGAAGGTTTATGATATACGTCCTTTCGCCCTGCCACAACGCAAGGTGAAATAATCCTGCCACTGAAGAAAGGTCACTCCAGGTTCTTCAGGACATCATTGAAAATAATGTCTGTGACACAGTTACACTCAACAAAGTGTTGGATCGTGAGGAGATTTTTGCACACAAATGAAATTTTGTTTTACGATTTTGATACTCCAAAGCCAGAAGCCGGTACACATGTAAGGTTGGTCTTGTATGAGTATTTTTGTAACCAGACAAACCTAAATGAACTGAAAGATCGTGGTCGTTAAAGACTGCTCTGTTGACTACAGTTCTCCATGGTGTTTTGTTAGGAAACACTGACTCATAAACTAAAATACAAGAAATGTTCTGATGCTTTTAACACGACAGAAACTCTTTGTTTATCAGATTACATAAAACAAAAACATAATTCGTCAAATATATTCAACAAGCTGTGACCTCCCCCTGTAAACGTCGAAAGGCTAAGAACGGTTGAATTGGAACAGAACATCAGAACATTACCTCGAAGACAATACATTGTTGATTAAAATTTAAATGGAAACAAATTGCAATGAGAAAAGAAGTGACACAGACATATTTAGAAGAATAGAAATCAATATTCATTCACTAGTTCCTTTTAGATATGTTTCTCTCTTGTTTGCGGTTACCTCCCATACTTACCGAATTCATAAACACCATCAAGAGGGGGCTGAAGTGTAATAATTTCATTGTACCCTTGAGAGGGTATTTGACGCCATATCATTCAAAGGATGTATTTTTCTACTACCTTTTACTCCTTGAATACTTGTTTCCATCAATTTTGGCCTTACCTTACTGAAACCGTGCAGGAAGCAGAAGTATCCCCGCGATCCCTTGTATGGTGGCCTCACTTTGGTGACTGGTGATCTCTATCTCGTTTCTATAACATATTATTATTTATCGTAATTTCCTTGTAGTTCCATACAGTTTTAAAAGATATATCTGTTGTTAATGTTACTAACGTGGCTATATCCCCCGCCCCTGTTGCAGAATTTATGACATAATTAAATCTAAACAAACAATCTTTTTTAACCGAGGTGGAACTTGTCATTGAAATTGTAAAAAAAGAAGTGTTTATAACCTAAGTCCATCTTGTTGCCATGGAAACGTAAAAAAATCTAAAATTTCTAAATAGCAAAAGGCACCAGTTAAGCATGTACCTGACAGACCTGCAAAGTTTCATGAAAATATATGTGACGGTTTATGAGTTATGCTCCAGAAACGAACCCTACCCTCACAGAACCTAAGTCCATCTTGTTGCCAAGGAATGGAGGGAATGACCTCACATATGTGTTGTCCGGGTCGCCATTTTGAGACAGGTAGATAATTATGAGTCAGAGTGTTAGGTATGTATTGACCTTGAAAGTTGTTAATGTTTTTTGTCTATGACTGACAACATTTAACAATTAATAGCATGTACTCAATGAAGAAGCGAGGTCTGTTAAGTTTGCCAGTGAAAAACCATATGGTTTATTTTATTTATTTGGCAATTGCTTACCCTTGAGCTTCCCCCTCCGAAACCCCGACCTTGTCAAATTCCTGCTGACGATGCTGGCCCTGAAGAATGGGACCCGGATGCCTGCGATGGACCCACCCTCTGAAATTGCTCCATGACTACAATGCTTCAGTAGTCACGTGACCATTCGAACCACCGAGAACTGTTCTATCACCGAGTCACGTGACAGTATGTGTAATTTACGTGATTATTTGTTCCCATCTGTTTTTGTGCCTGTGTAGTAGTCTGTCATACAGACCCTGAGACAAATATTTCCAATACAGCCCATGCAAGCCTATAATGCACGTCTAGATTACGGCAGTAACAGGGTCTGTACAAATCTGCTGAATTCACAAGCGAGCACAGAGCTTGTAATAATCAGTCAGTCAGGCTGTCATGAGTGTTTAGTATTAGCACATGTTGAGACACCCCCACCACTCCCATTGACCCCACACTGAGCCCAGACCCGATCCTGCTCTTGACCCTGCCACTCTGACCAGACAACATGGGTGATTACTTTGGAGACCTGGAAACATATAAAATATCTGGGTTTTTTTCTTTAGTTCGTTCATTGTTAACCTGATGAGGACAGGGGAGGATTTCCAAACGTTTTGCATTTCTGAGTAAAAATTAATAGGGGCATTGAAGAGTTAAATCGCTTTATTGCTGATGAAAGCGAGTATACAGAGCATCAGTCTGCAGTTCCGTAGGGTGGCGGGGTAGCCTAGTGGTTAAAGCGTTCGCTCATCACGCCGAAGACCTGGGTTTGATTCACCACATGGGTACAATGTGTGAAGCCCTTTTCTGGTGTCCCCCGCCGTAATATTGCTGGAATATTGCTAAAAGCAGCATAAAACCATACTCACTCACTCAGATCCATAGGATTGTTACAAATATATAAATGTTATTTTAAATGATGGTACAAGTCGTCTTACAATATTGTCCACACAAGTATCATCAACTAGACTTTTTCGACACACATCATACATTGAACATTCCTGATGTATTAACAGTTTTGAAACTTTTTCAATCAGTAGATATGCTCCTTCGTTAGTGAAAACTTTTCCTCCTGTTCGATGCTATATCATTCAAACTGCCATTTATAGTGTAGCAGAATATGTGTGTGCATCGATAAATGATGTCAAAAACACAGCTACGGGTGTGATTCGTTTATTAGATGACGAGTGGTATACCTTTTCTTTCACACCCTGAAATGCACAATAACACTCAATAAGAATCTTGTAAATTATGACAATTAAAATGAGAACATGATACTTCATTAGTATTACCTTATACATATATAGAGGATATGTATACGTCCTAACATGATACATCATTATAATTACATTACACATACATATAGTATATGCATACATCAAATCAAAATACTTCTTATTGGTGTAAAACGTGATCAATAGATAAACATAATAATAATATATATTTACATGTGGTGACAAGTAAACATACCAGAAGTATGGCCTCTAGGTGTAGGTGACACTTTAGTCTGTCACGACTACATGGTCAGGGCTACAGTGACATCAAAGTACCTATAAATATGGAGGTTATTCTAAATGTACAATAAAACTAGCTTCCTTACACAATGCTCTTGCACGTGTGGACATTATTATCAAATCAGTGCTATTGTTTATACATATTTACAGATCTGAACACAGCAGTACCATAAAACACAATAAATGACTAAACATCCTAAAACTATCATAAATGTCCACACACTTACAATACATTTAACACATATATGATAATAGCCTCATAACATAGTCAAACAACACTCTGTCCAGGAGAATCAGACATTGACTAAATCTCACACACATCATAACAAATACCTTATTTAACGTACACCTATTTATATAATCATATTTATGAAAAGATAGATTTATATATGTTTACGTATTAAATTGGAAACATACCTTGACTTTACAACATCTGTAAAATGTGTCCACTTGCTGTCGCCTGTCAGTGACTTGTCTGTGTAGTGACTGAGGTGCAAGTGAGGGTTAAAAAAGCATGCAAAGCTGACCCTAAGGAAAACAATAGGGAACCACTCAACCAGAACATTTGGCCTGGCTGACACAAAGGAGCTGATAGGGTAGTGACTGACCCAAGCATAACTAAGTTAAAAGGTGTTGTATCAAATCTTCATTAAAATCCCTAAAACCCATACTGCAAACTAATACTTAATACTAAATACTAATACTAAATACTAATACTAAATACTAATATTAAATACTAATATTAATAATAATACCAATGCTAAAACTAACTACAGTATGTATTATTTACACTATATACTAATACTGTCACAAATAACTAATGCTAATATTAATACTAATACTAACTACACTATGTATTATATACACTATATACTACTGGTATATTACTGGTTAGTTGACAGTTAAACAAAACCTGTAACTGCCACACACTTCCCCTCCCTGTTTAATGACGTCCTCGTCATTCTTGCTTACCAGCTACCAAGTTGACCAACGCATCCAGTGCCTTCTCTGATCTGCCTGCAAATACACCCTTAGCCATTAGGGAGCTGAGGTACTCTGCACGACCAAGCCAGTCTGATGATGGTGATGGTGATGATGATGATGGAGATAACGCAGACATTACATAATCTCCTCTGGTCTGCCATGCTGGTCTTGTTCTCTCTCTGGTAGATCTCCTTGGTGCTGGTATAGGTGGGACAGCGACCTTGGGTTGGGTCTGTGTGTCACCAGGACCGTCTTCAGGAGCCTGTGGTTCATTCTGTGAAGAGTCTGCATCCTGCTCCGTTCCTTGGGCGTCAGAGCTGTGGACATCTTCAGCAGCATCTACCACTTCCTCTTCTCCTGTCACGACCTCATCCAGAACAGCACTGTCTTGTGCTTCTCCCTCAGTCGGCCTGTCATCTGGATTATCAGTTGACACTGACGGGTCTGATGGGTCACGAGAAACAACAATGGTGATGTCATCTGTTTCTTCTTCCTGGTCCTGATCTTCGTCAGACAAGGGACTCCTGTCTTCCTTGGGGGATGGTCCAAGCAGTGTCCTGTCTGAGTGTCTTGGCTTAGGAATCGGTGTTTCCAATGGTAAGGAACTGATGGGCAAAAGCAGATTCCTATGGAGTGTACAGGTTTTTCCATCTCCACGCTCTTTCTGTACAACATAAACTGGAATGCTGGGATTTGGCTGTTTAATTACGATATACACATCCTCCTCCCACTTGTCTGACAGTTTATGTTTCCCATCGAATGCCACCTTTTTCACCAATACCCTATCTGCTTTTTCCAGTTGTGTTGCTCTCGCTCGGTAGTCGTAGTTTGACTTGTGCCTTGTCTGAGACCTCTTAGCATTGGCAGATGCCAGTTCATAAGCCTGTTGTAGATTATCTTTGAGGTTCCTGATGTATTTAGACATGGATCTCGACTTCTCTGGCTCAATGTCTAAACCAAATGCCAAGTCTACTGGTAATCTTGGAGCTCTCCCAAACATCAGAAAGAATGGTGAATATTTAGTAGCCTCATGCCTTGTGCTGTTGTATGCATGTACCAAAGGTCCAACGTGGCTCTTCCAGTCCTTCTTGCTCTCTGGGTCAAGTGTCCCAAGCATGTTGAGAAGTGTCCTGTTAAACCGTTCGCACATGCCATTACCCATGGCATGATAGGGCGTAGTGCGAGACTTCTGCATGTTGGTCAATGTGCATAGTTCTTTCATGAGAGCTCCTTCAAAGTTGGCACCTTGATCTGAATGAATACGCACAGGTAATCCATAATGTACCACAAAGTTGTGAAAGAATACATCAGCAGTGGTCTTGGCAGTCATATTTCTGGTTGGATATGCCTGTGCATATCTGGTGAAGTGATCGGTGACTACAAGAATATGTTGTTGTCCGCCCTTGGATGGTTCCAGTGTCAAAAAGTCCATACAGACTAATTCCAGAGGTTGTGATGTTTGTATGTTCACTATTGGGGCTCTTCCTGGGGTAGTCTTGCGTTTAGTACATCGTTCACAATTCTGTACATGTACCTCTATATCCTTTGTCATCCCTGGCCAGTAGAATCTTGCTTTTATCAATGACCAGGGTTCTATCTCGACCAGGGTGACCCACATTGTCATGAAGACTATGCAGCGCTCCTTTACGGCATCTTGTTGGTAGCACTAACTGTTCCTGTACCTCTCCATTGACTTGGATTACTCGGTAGAGCACACCTCTCTTCAGCTTGAAGTGGTCAAAGCTCTTCAGTAAAGTAACCATCTCTGTATTTCCAGTGTAGTCTGTGTAATGTGGTCTTGTCCGATTCCTAAGATGGGTCATAATAATGTCTAGAGCTGGATCTCTTGCTTGGGCTCTCCGCCAGTCTGTAGCATTGATGGAACAGGTTTCTTCAGTGATGTTTAGTTCTTCATCAGGCAAAGCATCTGTTGAAAAACAAACACATTCTAACAAATTTGTAGGTAAAATCGTGCCACAAATAGCATGTACGGAGTCTTGAGAAATCACATCCACTTTCTCGTTTACTTCAATGGACTCTGGCAGCCTAGATAGTATGTCAGCATCGACATTGGCTTTTCCTGCTCTGTATTTGATGTCAAAGTTGTACGAAGCAAGGGCAGCTAACCATCTGTGTCCGGTGGCATCCAGCTTGGCACTAGTGAGGATATAAGTGAGTGGATTGTTATCCGTCAGTACAGTGAAGTTCTGTCCATAAAGATAATCATGGAACTTCTCACAAATGGACCATTTCAAGCACAAAAACTCAAGCTTGTGGGCAGAAAAGTGGCGCTCCGACTTGCTTAGTCCCCTGCTGGCATAAGCAATCACTCTTGGCTGTCCATTCTGTTGCTGGTATAGCACTGCTCCAAGACCATGACTGCTGGCATCTGTGTGCAGTTCAAAGGGGAGGGAATAATCCACATAACCAAGAACCGGAGGTGTAGATAGACACGTCTTGAGTTCTTGAAAGGCACTCTCTTGAGTCGGTCCCCACTGCCACTGAACTTGCTCCTTCTTAGGAATGTGAGATTTCTTTCGATGAATCTTTGGCATTAGTTCTGAAAGAGGCTTAGCAATTGTGGAAAAGTTCCTCACAAACTTTCTATAGTAACCAGCAAATCCAAGGAATTTACTAACGTCTTCTGGTGTGCAAGGTGTTGGCCAGTCCTGAATCTTGTTTATCTTTTCTGGATCTGCCTCAATGCCATCTTCAGATACTATATATCCCACATATTTCACTCGTCTTTTGAAAAATTGGCATTTCTTTGGGGCTAGCTTCAAACCACATTCCCTCAATCTCTGTAGGACACGTTCCAGTCGCTCCAGATGTTCCTCAAATGTTCTTGAAAAGATAATCAGATCGTCAAGATAGATTTAACATATATCAAGATGTAATCCAACGAGACACTGTTCCATTAGACGTTGGTATGTTGCCGGTGCATTGCACAAACCAAATGGCATACGATGGTATTCAAAGAATCCAAGAGGTCCAACTGTGAATGCTGTACGCTGCTTATGGTCCTCCTCCAACTCAACCTGGTGGTAACCACTCTTCATGTCCAGGACACTGTAATATTTCATCCCTCTGAGACAATCCAAGAGTTCTTCAATCCGGGGAAGAGCATAGGAATCCTTGATGGTCTTACGATTCAGCTGTCTGAAGTCAACACACATCCTCAGCTGGCCTGACTTCTTCCGTGCTAATACAACATTCGATGCCCATGGGCTATGAGAATGTCGTATCACTCCAGCAGATAAGAGTTGTTGAAGGTGTGTCCGGACTTCATCATACATGGCAGGTGGTATACGCCGGTGTCGCTGTTTAAAGGGGACATCATCAACCAGATCTATCCTATGCTTGACTGCATCTGAATGGCCTATGTCCTCTTCACCTTTTGAGAATATATCACGGAACTTCATGATGACTTGTATCCCTCTCTCAAACTCTTCCGGTGTTAGGGTACTGTGTTCAATCTCAACTTGCTCTGTCAATGCAACTCCTTCAAATGGCTTGCCAATGGGCGGATGTTGTAAAGTAACTGGTTGGAGTTCACAAAGAATTTCTCTCGGTTGTATCACAACAGTACGTGTGGTAACATTAGCAATATGCACGTCTATGTATCCAGGATAACTGAAGTCATAATCAATAATGGTAGGGGCTATGTCCAAATCCGTAGGAATGGATGAACTGTTTGTTGGCTGTAAAAGGGCACAAACTCTTGGACATCTAACTCCTTTGGTAACTTTGCCTCTAAGTACCGCACGGCTGTTGGCTGGTATGGTAACTCTGGAACCTTCAGCGTTGTATACTAGTCCAAGTCTCCAGTCATTCTTCTCCAAGTTCTTCTCACATAAGGTAATGGTTCTAAAAGCAAGGTACCAAGGCGTTGTTAGGTTGGCATGCTGCAAGTATCTGGCACCATGTCGTACCTTGCAATCCTTCAAGAAGTGCGTAAGCACATTGGTTCCTAATAGCACAGGCACTTTCCCATTGTACTGTGTATCTGGTACCACCAGTAACAAACAAGGAATAGCTTCACTAGTACCAGAACCTATTGCATTGACCTTGACCTCAATGAAACCATCGTAAGGTAATGTTTCGCCATCAGCGCATTCGATATCCAATAGATCTCCTAAGGGCTCAATAGGAATACTTGAGAGATGAGAATTGTAGAAGGACCTAGACATCAAAGATACTGATGCTCCTGTATCCAACAATGATCTGACCTGTGTATCTCCCATATATAAATCAACCTCATTCGTATTACCAACTAATCCCTCAGGAACTCTGTTCCTGGGCTGTCTTGAAGGACCTATGGCTTGCCCCTGCCCATAGGCCTGCATGAGTTTAAAGTCCTCCCACGACGACTGTGTTCGAGTCTCACTCGGCATCCATACTGGTAATGGCCTCTCTGTCCACATCGCCAACACTCTGGATCAGCTGCTTCACTTCCTGCTCGTTGGGATGAATAAAGCGAATATTCAGAATGGCCTTCTGGTCTTGGGTTAGCATAGTTGGAGGGCTGTCGACTCCTCCACTGGTTATCTCCCCTTGGCACTTGTTGATAGTCCTGGGATGTTCTCCAACTCTGTCCTCTTTGGTTTTTCATGTCAGCCATGTCTGTAGTAATTTGGTGTAGGATAGTCTTCATATCAGACATTTCCTTCTTCCATTCTGGTTCAGACTCCATGGCTCTCTTGACGGTACATGCCTGTTTCTGTTGGCGAGCTGATGTGGCGCTATGTTGATCTGCCTCGATTTCACGTAGTGCTTCCAGTAAGTCCACAAAGTTATGGATGCTGTCAAACTTGTGGCCAGATATATTTTTCAAAGAGGGGTTAAGTCCAGTCCACAGCATATTATGGAGCATCTCATCCCGTGTCTCATACATGATGGCGTTATCCCTCATGGCCCTTGAAAGAAGTTCCTCGAGTCTACAACTCCATACAGATACATCCTCTTTCTCTTCCTGCCGAGCGCTGTAGAAGAGTGCCATACTGCACTCTCTCCTCTCCACAACACCAAATACGCTTTTGAACTTCCTAAGTAAGTCAGTGGTGCTGGCGTCTGGTTGCATGTGAACGGCAATCTTGGCCGCCTCCCCCTTTAAAGAATCCCTTATAGCTTGGTCCTTAGCTTCAGAGGAATAAACCTTGTTGTTAATGAGTCTACATGGTATCTCCAGACTTCATGAGATGTGTCTTTGCCAGATTTGTCACCGCTGAAATTTGGAAGTCTGGGGAACTTCTGATACATGTAGGTAGGCATGCCTGATGGTGGCTGTGGAGCTGTAGCTTGGGCTATTCCCTCCTTGGATTCCCCCTCTGATTTGACTGCAGAGTATTCATTCATCCATGTTGCAAATTCCTCTGGGGTGTCTGCTTTGGGTTTAACACCTAACTTCTTGAAAGCCAGGACAATATTCTTCAATTCATCACCGGTGAGTTCCATCCTTATAAATAAATATTCGTCCAAGACTCGGAATGAATTGTTCACAATGACTATCAGAGTCAACAACTAAAACCAACTGAAAACCATGGTAAGTGTAGAACGGATACAACTGTCGTTCTATAAACGTACAGTGAAAAACAGTTACAACTGTCGTTTTGTTGACGCACAGTGTGTATGTGTGTACGGTTTGGGTTTAAATTGGATTAGATGGTTTAAGTTTGGTTTAAATTGGTTTAAGTAAATATAGTTGTCGTCCAACTATACAGCAAAGTACATTGTACAGTGTAAGTATAGAACAGTTTAGGTGAAAGCAGTTTCAAAAGTTACCTTTTCTGACCCGATAATACCACCTCTTAATGAACTATCACAACATTACACTGTCACTTAATAACAGCAATTACTTCACCTCACCACCCTCTTGTGGTTAAGGAAGTGTAATGCAGTTATACCTGTGACAGCAACACATTGTACTTATTGTATGATACCTGAAACGGAAACACAATGTAAGGTAGGTATTAGTAGTACTAAGTAACTGTATAGGAATAAGTAACTTTAATTACTTAATGTGGCTAAGTTACGTCATGGCTAACTACTACAAGGTTAAACATAACACCAATAATACTGAATGAATATGATACTGTACTGTGATATCTATCCTATTGAGTTCAACCCCACTGACTAACTAATAACTAATGTCATAAAACATTAATCCTATTAGAAATACATGACCCAAAACAATACTAAATTACTAAATAGCAAATGTTAGTATGCAGGGTGAGTGATTAATACGTGCTCTATTGTCTGTTCAGTTCAGTGATCTGTCTGTTGTCAATGAGAAAAAAACAATAAGGAAACCTACCAGCCTATATAGGTGAAGGTATAAGTATTTACGTAACTTTAGGGTAAGTTAGGTTTATGTTTCTTTGGAATGAAAGTTAATAATTTATTTAATCTCCCTCACAACACAAGATTCATTCACACTAAACTTGAAACTGAGATTGAATATGCCA